TCACGCTGTACGCGCTGCTGCAGGCTGCGCTGCTGTTCGTCAACGCCATGGCCGTGCTGCACGAGGAGCGCTTCCTCCGCAACGGTGAGCGGGGCCGGGGCCGGGGCCGGGGCCGGGCCGGGTCGGGTCGGGTCGGGTCGGGTCTTCCTGCGGGGCCGGACCGCGCGCGGGTGCTTAGTCATGGCCGGCCGTTGTCTGTTATCTGGAGGAGCTCTTCCGCCTGCCGGGCGCGCGCCGGTGCTGTGGTAGAGATCAGTCGCCCCCCTCGCAGCTGTCATCCTCCCTCCCAGGGGAAGCACGGCGACGAGGGGTGCAGGTCGTGTCTCCGGTGGCGGGAGACCTTCCCTGCGCTTGCCCCGGTTGCAGCCAGCGTCTTGAACGCGGCTCACCAAAATCGTCCGCGATCTTCAGATGACGTCTTGCAGCCTCCTTAAATGGTGGCGTCAATACATCGCTCTTCCTTTGGGAAGTAACTTTCCAGACGCGATCCGAGGTTTGCACTTTCTTTTCCGTGCCTGTCTCATGCCGGCAGCAGCACAAAACCATCTTCCCATGGATGCACCAAAGTCCCTTTTCCTCGGTTTTGCGGATCAGCCCTGGCGTCAGACTCAGTCCCTGCGGGCACAGCTTTGCGTTTCCAGCTCTGTTTCTATCACTCCTCCTCGAGATTCTCCGTTTTTTGTCTCGTATGAGATTCCCGTATTGACGAGACCGCTCAGCTTCGCGTCGTGAGCCAGTCCTGTTATCAGACAAGGTTATTAAGAAAAATATTAAATACTTTCAGACCCAGAACTGATCCTTGAGGAAGTCTGCTAGTAACGTCTTGCCTCTGGCCTGATCCTTATCCCTTCCTTACTGTCCGTTGTCATCTCCCCTTGAGCCAGCTCTCTACCTATGTTATAGTTACATTAACCCCCATTTTCACTGTTATTTCACAGATGTTTTCCTGAAGTCCAGAAAGGAGATGTAGTAGATCTCATTGTTGTGTTGAAAATAAGTTACCTCCAAAAGCTTTTAGATTATCCTACAGAATCTATCTACCTTGGTTACGTTTTGTATCTGGCTTTCCATTTTTCCTTATGTCATCTTCTTTTCTTCAAATTTTAACTATTATTCCAGGGCTCTAGAAGCACTCCATAAAAGCGTTGGGGTTCTTAACATGAATATTATAGCATGATGTATTTAGTATACAGGCAGTCCTTGACTTGCGTTTCGAGTTGCAATGTTTCACACTTACGACGTTTATAAATTGAGACCGTTTCGACTTTATGATGTCAGTTTTGACTTTACGCTTGATCCGATTCGATGCCACCCCAGCGAACAAGTTACCTGCATCACCCATCTCCCTGGAGAACATCTGTCCAAACTTCCTTGGACACTTCCTTTAAGAAAGTAGACACAACTTCAGAAAAACCTGCAGCCAAGACTCCTGAGAAGCCTTTCAAAAAGTCCAACCGAGTGCCCTTCAAAAAGTTGAGCAGTCACATCAAAGAAGTCCTTCCAAATCAATATGATTGCTGTACACAATATAAACACATTAATGTAGCTATACTGCTCATCTGTAATTAATCAAGTACAAAATTCTGGTGTATTTTTGGTGAAAGTAGGGTATCGGGCCTTGGTTCAGGAACCAATCCCCCATTTATAACATTGTTTCTTATGAGAAAATTGGTTCTGAGTTGCAACGTTTCGACTTAAGACATGGTTTTCAGGAACCAATTGTGTCGTAAGTCCGAGGACTGCCTCTATTTGGTCTCTACTTTCTCCTCCACTTCCAAGCCTTCACCATGCTTTTGTGCTATTGAGGAGACTCCCTGTATCTGGCAGTTCTCTGTACAGAAGGTTTTTAGGACTGACACAGTCTTTTATTCTATTTAGTCATTGTCTTGCATCAGTGCCCTTGTACACTTTGTATTTTTAAAACGGATTGTACTTTCCAACAATTCCTGACAGACCCTTGTTCTCCCTTCCATTCAGTTTTCCTTAGCCTGTGTTGATTTTTGTAATTTGGTTTCTACTTTCTATTTCCTGCCCCATTCTCTTACTCCCTGCTCTCCCCTTCCTTTTTCTGCTTCTGTCTCTCCTGTGCTGAGCTGAAACCTTAGGTCTCACTCTGGAAATTCAAGGTCAGGTAGGTGTATACTATGCTACTGAAAGAGCACCCAGGCTCTCAAAATACATCTAAAATAAACAGACAGGATTTTGTTTGGGGTTGACATTTCCCTGTGATGGGTCAAACTGGGCTTACTGGCAATTACGTTGGTAGCATCCTTTCTCTGATCCTTCCCAACAGGACTTGGGAGGGCACGCAATCTGCTGGGGCTTTGGGCTCCATTGGGAGCTGCATACAGGCTTTGTGAGGAGGTGGTGGATACTCAAAGACAGATCAGGCTTAGGAAGTGCTCTCTTGGATTGAGCAGTTATCCATCTGATCCACTAGTCGACTCTGACAGAGGATCGTCCCATAGTCTCAAGTCTTCTTATCTGTCCTCTTGTGGATAGCTAGTAATAACCAACCCCAACAGAGAAAAGACCTCCTAGTGCCTTTCAGCTAGCGTTTAGTTTAGACCTCATAGTACAGAGTCATAGCCCATAAAAACCAAAACCATACAAAAAACCCAAATCTCGTCCTTTCTGTTGTGACTGGATATCCTCATCCCTTGAAAATCCATCCTTTGAAGATAATAAATCTTGCTGGGATCTTGACCATCTAGTTTTGTGGCATTGGGTTTCAGAGTTTGTGTGTAATATATAATCTTTTATGTCTAAATATGTTGCCCTAACAATTTTGATGCTGGAAATAGCAAATCTGAGCATCTAGTTTACTTTTTCTTCCTGTTCCTGTTTCACATACCTCAGCAAGGTCTCCTTTTATTGTTCTCTTCTCCAGACTAGAGAAACCCTTTCAATCTTTATTCAGATGGAAGTGTGTTATACCTTAGCTACTTGCATTGTGTGTCCTGGATCGCTCTTATTTCTGCTTAATCTGCAGGGACAGAATGACCTGAACCAAAAACAGTATTCCAGATTGGAGCACACCACTGATGTAACAGCATTATCATAGTTTTCCTATTGCCTTCTTTATACATCTTGATACCTTGTTTGCTTTTAAAATAATGCTGCACATTGAGCTGCCCAATGAAAGTATTTTATTGAGCTCCTGTGAATTATATATAAGTCTTTCCTGAGTGGCAACCTAGTGATTTAGAGTCCAGCAATATGTATAAGCAGGTCTAATTATTCCTTCCAGTGGGCACTGTCTTGCATTTAGCAACTCTAAATTTAATTTGATATCATATTGGCCATTCATTTAACATTATTGGATTCTTCTGTGGTTCCTTGTGGATTTCCTGTTTCATCCTGACTAATGTGATTCTGTCCTTTGCAAATCTGGCTAGCTCTTTGTTCATTCTTAATATATATTTTAATGATCAAGTAAGAGGGATCTTCTTCTAGAACAGGAAGGTCATGTAGGACTGGTCCATGGGCCCAACAAACAGTGTGGCACCAGTCCCTCAGGCTGGATCAGGCCCACAGTCCCTGGCTTCTTGGGGCATACAAGATCCAGTGCCTGTACACGTGTTCCAGCTTGTCCAGGATTGTGCTGCATGTAGTTCCCACCATGGCTGGACCAGGATGTCAGCGGCATGTGTTGCTTGGTCCAGCTGATCTGGAGCAGATGCTGCATGCAGCGTGGCTCCCAGATTGGCAGGAGTGGAAGATGGATTTGGTGTGCAGGCAGATCCTGGACTGGCCCAGTGCAGGGCCAGCACCAGGGGTTGGGTAGTGTGGCTCTGTGGGCCAGATCTTTTTGACATCCCAGGTCTAGAAGTTTGGGGCACTGTTATTCCTACTTTTTATTTTATGCCTCCTAGTTGGTGATAGAATTTTATCTGCCACTTCAAACCTACTTTGTTTCTAAAATATCCTCATGTGTGGGTGGGACTTTGTCAAATGGGTTTGTTTTTTGCTTTGCTTTAAATTTCAGGTGAATTGTCCATCAGATATATCTAAGGATTTGTAGAAACCTAAATAGCCATTGTTTGCCTTTTCAGATACATGCTCACTTGCAGTTGTTTCCACTAACTGTTTCAAGCCGTTTACCTGCCTTTGAAATAAGGCTTGCTGGTATGTCATTTGGCTGTAATAATGGCAAAACTGAATCTTATGTGAGTGAGATCACCTAGTAATATTGCCAGTAACCGTGAGTAACCACATTAAAAAATCACCCAACCTTCTTCGTGTTATACAGTTGGCTGGGGAACAGATCAGGGGATTGGAGGATTCGGAGAAGAGCCAGGAATTAAAGCACAGTTGATGAACCTTATTCGATCTGTACGAACAGTTATGAGAGGTAAAGTGAAGATGCATTTTTGTTGAGATGCTTATTGTTGGCTACGTTCTTTCCCCTTTAATTAAATTGTTTGTTCATATAACAGAACTGTCCCGACACCTGAATTTGAAACGTTGCCCCTTTAATGAAGGCTTTCCTTCCCCAGCTGGGGAAATCATTTCTTGCTCAATTATTTTTACCCAGCTCTTTCCCATCAACTCCTTAGGCCACTTTGTACAAAATGTATGTATCATCCTCCTATTGTGCTCTAAGAAGATGGTGTCAGGCACAGCTCTCTGCTACCCAGTTGCTATACCCACAGCTTGATGTGGAAAAAATCCCCTTGGCTGCCTGTATCATACATGCTTGTAGTCCTGGGTTGGGGTGTGTAATCCTGCTGTTCCCTATTATGCTATTTGCTTATCATGGCCTAAACTTTTTTTCTCTCCGGCTCTTATCCTCTCCCTAAGATTTCTGCTTTGAAAAACAGGAGAGAGATGAGTAATGAAAGGGACTTAGTGGGTGAATTGCAAAAGCACAGGTTTTTAGTCGTCTAGAAAAGAACCTCCCTCCATGTCAAAAGTCCTGTTGCTGAGTATATTGGTCAGGCAAGCTGGCATTGCTCATTGGGCTCTTGGAAAGGGAATAGCTGTCGGATTATGGATTAGAAAAGAGATACTTGCTTGGGAGACCAGAAAGAAGCCTCTATGCCTAGGGCCCACAATGTTTGTAAGCCAGTTGTTATGGAAGCTTTCTTTCCTATGGTCGTAGAAGTATTGTGATTTCTAGAATTCAGCACTGACCTGCTTTTAAATTATTTCAAGTATCATAATTCAGTTGTGTGTAAATTATTGCATGGCGAGAGAAACTACGAGAATTCCTGATAGACTTAGTGGCATGCAGTGTGAGGACAGCTCAGTATGTGTTAGTACAGAAATGGGTTTGTATCCACTTCATGTTGGTGGTAGTGAAAGGTTGTAACTGTTCTGTTTGGCAGTGTACCATCTAAAGGCCTGGCGTGTGTCGCAGTAGGTATACTGTGCTGTCCACATCACAAAATCTTCACTACAACCCACATGAATTTATAGCTTTCTAGGGAATACAAGGCCTGTCCTCAGAAGACCAGAGAGAGAAATGGCCATGGAGAGAATTCAACCTCATCTATAGAAGTGCTTTCTCGTGGTTAGGTATGAGACACAAGGGAGAACATGGCAGTATTAGGAATTTCTACTGTTGTTTTCTGTTCTCCCTCCTGGACAGTCTCCCGCTCTCTCTCTTTCCCCAGATTCTGAATGTGCATATACACATTTAAATATTTTAAAAAATCAGTTGATTGTATTTTCTCCCATTAGTCTCCCAGCATAATAATCTGTCATGAATTTTGGGGGGGTGAGCTATTGGGATGCAAAGCTTATTTTGTGGTACCTTCTTGTGTTTTTATTTTCTTCTGTTTCTCTAATTGTTCTTATTGGATGTTGCCCTGATCTTTCTTTGGAAAGGGTGGCACCTGAATCTGATAAATAAATGATGTTTCTGTGTGCAGCCTAAAGGAGTATTTCCATAAAGATTTTGTATTTCTTTTGCAGTGCCATTAATAGCAGTGAACTCCATCACAATTGTATTGCTCTTACTATTTGGCTGAAGATGATTGGTTGAAAACAAACCCTTTGGACATCCAAAGCGGAGAGACCGCCTCCCACGACTGCTTCAGGATAATTGGGATCCACCACGGTTTAGCTGTCAAACTTGGCATTCAACTTAATAAAGACACTCTTTGTATTTATCTTCTTTCTAAATGTTCCCTCACAGTTTCATTACACAAGATAACGGGATCAATGCAATAGTGCTGTAAATACATTGGACTGCAACAAGTTTTACCACTGACTGTTAATAGCGCCAACTGTTACAGTATGTGTTGTAACATATTGTAATGATTGTTAAAAGGGTGCAGTTTTTTTTAAATATCTTGTTACTCAGGGGTGAATGCACTCCCAGTACACATTAGGATTTTAGACATAAGCGAATTGTAATGTTTTTGTTCTCTTAGTAGTTACCACAGTATTATTAAATAGACACTTCATTTGGTTCTTAAGATGTATTGCAAATTATTGATGAGACATTTGTTTGGGGAGAGTAAATCCACATGGGTAAGATCCTGGCTCAGTTGAAGTCAAAGGTAAAAATTCTTCTGACTTCACTGGGGCCAGGATATTGTTTGGTAGCATTTGGTGTTTTCTCAGACCAATGACATTTAAAGCTAACAGCAAAGTATTTTAAAATAACTGTAATAGCTATGTAAAAGCTACAACGGCTGTTCTATGGTGAGGAAACCTAGTTATTGAGTGTTAAAATATAGATTAGGAAGTGAAGTGCCGGTCATTGTTCTGTCAAGACTTTTTCCTTGCTAAACATCTTTGTAACAAGGTAGTATGTTTGAAATGCTGAACTGTTTGTATTCTAAGCTGTTTTGAGTAATATTGGAGGAAAATACTGCACCCTTTTTTCAAATGCAATTTAGTTTAAAAAAAACATGCAAAACTAGCAATGAATCTTCAGACTCGATTGAATCCTTCCTTATCGCTCCTTTCCGCTAAATAACTGTCTTATTCAAAGTGAAACTGTGGTTTAAAACTCTCTGTCCTTTGTCAGGCAAAAGTGCTATTATTTTGATAACGGTTTTCCTTGAATCAAGACAGCAGGATGATGTCCAGTGTTACATAGTGAGTTTGACTTTGAAGCCTGATCCGTGCATAGCTAGGCCTCTGTTGTTCCTCTTTGCTAGTGTGACCCAAATTCTTTTTGCCTATTTTTAAAGCCAGGAGGAAAAGAGGAAAACTAGCGAAACCTTGTAGTTGATATGGTTTTAGAACAGTTTGCCTTTACTTTATCATCTCCTTTTGATGTCACTGACTCAAGCTAAAATATTTTTTATATGAGGGTAAACCTGTAAAACATAAGTTCTGTGATGCTCACCTGCAGTATTTTACAGAAGCAGAGTTTACCCAGGAGAACTCTTTTTGTTTTTTAGGGAATGTTTGTAAATAAATTTGTATTTCTTAAGTTAATTGCTTTCTCTCTGTCCTAACTTGATGTACATGCAGTGGAAATATCTCCAGCCACAACTTTAGTTAGTTTCAGATATTGAGAAGCTTGTTTCTATTGTGATTCATAATGCATTTGCTGATGCCACTGCTGAAGTACAGCTTCCTTTCTGTTGGAGGGCAGTAAAAAGTCTGGCCAGGGACAGCAGTAGTATAACCTGCTACAACCTTGACAATTTTACTGAGTAAGAAAGAAATCATTTTTAATGAAATTAGATGAGACCTGTTAAAAAATACACACTTTGTAATATTTTTTCTTCTTTTTATTATAAAAAAGTAATCCGATATATAAGGATCTTCCTTCATTAGTGTGATTTGGATCATACTT